GACTTTTTGAGTTCGAAACCAAACACTCTAGCTAACTGTCGTTAGTGGAGTACTTGGGAGGCAATTGTGGGGGCCGAGTATTGGGAGTCGTAACGAGGCCGAATAAGTGGACCTGGAGAGTCAAAATATATATACATCGCATTCAGCCTCGTCTTGCACATTTATATCCTGACCTATTCAGCCAAATAGCCAGTTGAGTAAGAGGCCGAGTGAGAAGCGGTTTGCAACAAAAGGAGCCGAGTAAATAGTTATACGGTGAATAGAAAGTGGCCCAGCCCCGAGGCCCAAGAAAGAAAAGATATAAATAGAAGAGCGTCAGCCAGAAAGAGGTATGTGAAAATCATTACGCTTAACTTAAAATACAAGTAACCTAGAGAGTAGAGACTGACTTGTCTGTCGGAGTGCTAATTTCGGCACCCCCGACTGGAGTGTTTCTTCCTTTTCAAGTCATTAGCTGAGGAACTCGAGTGCCCCAGTGGATCAAAAGAATATTTCCAAACCACCTTCACCACACAAATCATAATTTCAAAAGAAAACCAAATGTACTACACAGGGTGTAAAGTGGTGACTTTTAAATGAGAACAGTAGGATAGAGAAGACCTTTTCAAACATCTGATTGGGTGTCAAGGGCGCATGTCTCACACCCCATCAATTGAGATGGAAAATTCAAGTGTACAATACGTGGTGTAAAGTGGTGATTTTTAATTGGAAAAATGCTTAGGATGTTAAATATTTTATATGTGTGTGGAATTTATATAAAATTTATATGGTGTAGTTTTTATATTTATGTAAGACATTTGGTAAAATATTTGGGATGTCTAGCATTATTCTTTTAAATGAGAATGGTAGATATAGCGATCCCGGGTTTACCCTTGTTGTACAGTGATCCGGACATGTGTCCGTGGATGTTGGTTGTTGTTTATTATCGTGTTTGCATCCTTTGTACTTTGTATATTGAGTTATAAGATGCGTTGGGCAGGTTTGTTATAGGTTGGGTGTAATTGGGAGCAAATGGTTGCTGCCCAGATTTTGGTGTCTTCGCTCGAGCGAGGACTTTGTCGCTCGAGCGAGCTCTTTTTTTTAGATCCTTCGCTCGAGCTAGGGTTTGTTCGCTCAAGCGAGAATTGAGTTTTGTATCTGGTGGCTCGAGCGAGAAGTCCTTCGCTCGAGCTTGCGTCTGCGTCTGATTCTGGACCTGAGAGCGGTGTTTCTTGGCTCGAGTGAGCTTTCCTTCGCTCGAGCGAGCGAGGTGTATGTTTTGAGTTTCTTCGCTCGAGCGAGCATTCTGTCGCTCGAGCGTGCTTCTGGGTTGCAG